ACACACACACACACACACACACACACACACACACACACACACACCATTTAATTAGTCCCCAATCCTTTGCTGCATTTGTCTGCATATCATTCATAATTTATGCTTCTACAAAACATGTTTCAAGGTGCCACTTACATATGAAGATGGCAAAGAGATGGCAAGTCGCATCAATGCCTTCAGCTACAGAGAGTGCTCTGCCAAAACCAAAGAAGGCGTGAGGGAACTTTTTGAGATGGCAACTTGGGCAGCGTTGAAGGTCAGCAAAAGGAGGAAGGATGGCTGTGCACTGTTATAGGCTCTGTGGAAGGATAAAGCTTTCTTTCTCTACCAGTCATGAATGTAAATTTGTAAGAGTGCAATTACACCTTGTACTGTACATGTAAGAAAAGACCTTCAACAATGACCTAAGGCCTTGTTATATACCAAAGATATATGTTGACTACTTTTCTTGGCTCAGATGTTTGGTGAAATTAAAATTAASTTTTATTTTCCTGGGAGATCTTGAACAAAAACCGGAAGCTCAGTTATGTCTCAGTTATGTTCTCGATCACAATAATGAAGGTTTTAGGACATTTTGTGGACCAAGTATTGATTTGATTGCATTATTTGGTGGGATAAATCACAAGTAATAAGTTACTATGGTTTACATACTTTCATTCAGGTGATAGGCTTATCTTTTTACTTTTCTGTTCATTATGTACTGTATGACTTACAAGGCCTTGAAAATATAGTAATATTGTTTATTGCAAGTTTGCCTTTTACTTCCTTACCTCTTTGAGTGACATTGTCATTATTGTATTTTGTAACTTTTGATTTTTCACGTCTAAAATGTTACAGTATATTTAGCCTAGTAATTTTATGAGATAAAATCTTGTTTTTGGCATTATTTCTAACAATAGAAGGTGCAGATCGGGGTGCTGATTTGGAAGGTTTTGGGGGCTAGTCTCCTAAAAGTTATTTTCTATTTTGAATTTTTATGTTTTTAATTTTATACAAAAAGCTGGTCTTAGGGTTTCTTTTATTTCGTTTTGATAAAACTGTTTGTTACTGTTTTCAACAGTGTTGGATATATATATTTGTGACACTCCTTGTTTACTTTTTCCTCCAAATAAAAATGTGCAGTCCTTCTAATCATTTGTATGTGTAATTTCATGTCTGACTAGAATATTTTAATGCACAAGTTAGGGAACCTGCATTACATAAAATTAATAAAATGTAATCGATCACAGAATCAAGCAATTACAAGCCCAGAATCAGTGACTTTTTGATTAGAATTTTGTARTAAACATGTAAATGCAGTTTGTGCTATTAAGACCTATTGTCTGTATTTTTTATTGAAATATATAAACTATTAAATAAAAATGTGACTTTGCATCTTTATTCTTAACCACTGACAAAAACCTAAAGCACTTCACTATTAAGTGTGCACAAGTGAATTTTGAGCTGATAACAAATTAGTCGCACTAGTTATGATACATGAAAAGACTGCATGTGCATATCCTCCAGGTTTGTAAGTAATGAAGATAAAAATGCTCAGGAACTCTTTCCAAAAGTATAATTGAATACAGAGTAAAAGACCAAAGCTCATGGTATGGTATGATTTCACAAAGCTATGACACGCCAAGGGTAAGGAAATAATGTATGTCTAAAAACAATGAGTAGCAGACCTTATGTAACAAACTAGTCTAACTGCACAAAATACATTTCCAAGACCAAACTAATATAGAAAATCATACTCGATCCTCTGAGTTGATGTTTGTCTCGTCCAATCATCATCTACATTGAAATATGCAGCCAACCAATCAGTCTTCGGGTATGACGTTTTGGTCCCGCCCACTCGGATATGTTTCAGTGTGGCCATTTTACACTGGATTTACTGAAAATAAAGCGCCCCATTCTCTTGTACTGACAGTTTTATTAGACGTGAGATTTCAGTAAGAACTGTTAGTTTCATGAGGTGGTGGTAAGTGTTTCTCCAATGCTGCTCAAGACTTGTTTTGTGTTTCTAACGGTGACAGCCATGAGCGTACTGTTTACCTAGCTTAGACTTGCTAGCTAACGTCAGCTAATAGATAGCTTGAAAGCTAACAGAGATGACCGCCACGCGTCATTGTTAAAAACTCATATTTGGAGAGTAAAAATCTACGTATGCATTGCGTACACATATTATATTGATAATTTATGCTGTTTTACTGCACTTTTTATTACCAAGTTTCGTTTAGTAATAAGTATGGTACCAGTAGTTCGAGAAATGTTGTGCTGCGTTATACACACACTGCACATCATTACTACTATGCATCTCATTTAAACAGGGTCCGTTTTAGTCATCCGGAAATTATTATTTCTTGTCCAACAGTGTAAACATAAAAGGGACAAAAACTTGGAGCTGAACAATTGGGTCAACATGGACTATGAGCGGAGGTGAGTAACAGTTCTAAATCCAATTCTAAAAATGTTCCTCTCTAAAGTTACAAAAAAGATATCACACTGGCTCTTATGATCATCAGGGGTGGGCGAGGCGACCGCATAGGCCGCTATGGCAACAACAGTAACGATCACAACTTCCTGGACATGGACTACCGAGGCTATGAGCAAGAAGATGAGGAGGCAGGACCAGAGGATGATGGATTATACAGCCACCACGAGAGGCCACCGGGTGCACATGACTTCCCACCAGGTTTTCCCCACGATGGTGCACGTTTTCACCACAGAGGGAACGCCAGAAGCAACATGGGACGAGATGGAAAAGGCCTTTTGTGGCCCCCTTTCTCCCATCCGCACCCAGATGTTGCTCACCCCATCCACCAGAGAGAGAACGGACCAAGGAGAGAGTCTGAGCTGCCACGCCCTTGCTTTCAGGAAAGGGGTCGGCAAAAAAGTGGAAGAGGCTTTCTGGAGAAAAGTGGCCCACACTCAGAAAATAGGGAGAGCCACTGGAGTCATGCTGGCACCCATCCTGAGCTGATGGAGTTTGGCGTAGGCAGACAGAGGGAGGAGGACAGGTTCTCACGTGGGGCTGGACAGAGAAGGGTAAGTCATAGATTTATGACATGCAACATATTTTTTATTATTGTTTGTTTGATCATCAGTAATTACTCTACTAAATTTATTACAGCCTTTTCCGGTGATGGCAGAGGAACAGGGATGTGGAAATATGGGCCCAGACCTGTCAGATGAGCTGGATCCGAGGGACCAGGACTACCGTACAGATTTGGATCACAACCAGAAGCCCAGTAACATCATCATGCTTCGCATGCTGCCATCCGATGCCACAACCAGTGAGGTGGGTTTTATCTAAACAAGACTGTGATATTGCTGTATTTTTTATTTATTTTTATTTATTTATTTATTTTTGTTATTAGAGCTAAAGATTTTTTTATTTATTTTTTTGCTGTTTAAAGATTCGGACACAGCTTCAGGAGCAGGGAATACAACCAAGAGAAGTTCGCCTGATGAGGAATAAATCTTCAGGTGAGGACATGTCCAAAGGTTGAGAGTTTTTTTTTTCTGGTCTTTACCCATGTTTCCTCCTTGTGTCAGTGTCATTGGTTACCTGCTCTGCCATTTTTACTGCTCTTTTTAACGACTTTACCCTGTGCCTTAAATCTACGTTGTGTTAGGAATGAGCATATTCACTTACCATATATATATATTTATATTCATGCTGTTAGTCTTTCACTATACTTGAGCAGCTAGCTTAATAGCTTATGCAAAGCACAAATATTTTAAGCGCTTATTCTCACAAGCAAAGCAGACAGTTGCCTACATTTCTGTTTTAATTCTTTGGTTTTCTGGTTTCTGTACCTGTACTAATGTTGCCAGGGCAACATTCATGCAGATTAAAAAAAAGTGTCGATTAATTTTGTTTTTCATGCAAGAATACTGGCACATATAACCAAGTTCATTTCATGGCTTTGATTTTTCTTTACTCTGTGGCTCACATGTTGTCTTTACCCTTTAGCTCTATCCATCCTGAAGTTAGTTATGTCTGACTAGTTAAGGGTTGTTCACAAACTAAACGTGTCAGAGCTGAAATTAGCATCTCAAGCAAGTGTGTTTGTGTCTTTGTAGTTACTTATGAGTTTGTGAGCGATAGGGTTGGGCATAATCGTATCATGTGCAATTAATCGTCAGAAAACCATTAATCAATTATTTTTTTGTCACTTTATGATTAATACGATTAATGCCAGCAGGCAGACTGACTGGAGATTACTCCGGTCAGTCTGCTTGGTGCTTCTCTCTGCTTCAAATATGACGAACATTAAAAGTTCTGTAATTCATTTATCTATCAACACAATGTAAAATTTAATGTATAGCCTGAAGTCTATAATTTTGACACGGTTTGGAACAGATTTTTTCGAAGAGCAAATCTTTCCCGCTAAATTGGTCATGTGACTAGGACATAAGGGTGTCCAGTAGAGATCAAACGATACAGGTTTTTGAAGGCCGATACCGATGTTTTTGACATCAGTCTAACCGATACGACGATACGTGCAGCCAATTTTTTTTTGGCCGATTCTTGAAGCCGAAACTGCCTTTTCTTTTTCCATTAACATGATAAAAATAAGAATGATAGCAAATGTTACACAGGTCTCAATTTAAAACAAAACAAACAAAAACATTTATTAACTAAACCTTGTCTGGTGCAGGCTGAGTGAAGTGCTGTCACATAGGATTTTTTCTTTCAGCCCTTTCTTAAAAATAAATAAATAAATAAATTTATGATTTATTTTATCTAGTGCTAAATATTCTGTTTTTATTTGTATATCAMTCAGATTAATATAGTTTTTTACATAAAATAAAATAACTGTTTTAATATTCCAGCATTTTTGATGCAAAAACAGTAACATGAGGAACACAGAGAAAGAAAAAGGAGAGACATACATACATTTTGGTATCTTTGTGAGGACTACACACACACACACACACACACACACACACACACGTGCGCGCAGCGCTCATAGTCTGCCTCAGTCTGCACCTGTATTTTTACACCGGGCAAAAAATGCATTTAAACCAGCCGAAGTTAAGTTTAGAGCACAGCTTGAAATGTACATCAAAGAAAACCTGCATCACGACTTTTATACTGCAGTCAGAGCAAACGTGATCTGAACAGCGTCTGCYTGCTGCACGGCGGCAGCTCTTATGAACGTAACAGGGAGAAAAGACTGAGAGCTTTTTGTTTTAATCCAGCAGGGAGAACAATACAGGTGTTCTTCTGTGCCTCCTGTGAGCAACTCYAGCATTTTTTAAAAAGAAAAACAACGTGGACACACTAATTACAGTGCGGTTTCAAATCGAAAGTAAAAACATGGCGCTCGCTGCGCTCCCGTTCAAAGTGAAATTTAACTCACAGCTGTTCTCTCTACCACTCATAGTCTGACACAGAGGGAAGAAACAGCTAAATTACACAGTTAAAACACATTAAAAGTTCGTAACTCACCCTTATTATTAGCACTCTGTCTCACAACATTAGCAGCTGCTCTCTCCCCGAGGGAGGAGCGTCATCATGCGCTCGCATGACCCAAAGAATGGATTGACCAAAAGGACGAACGTACTGGCCGAACGGACGGACGTATAGGCCGATACCGATATAAGGGAAAAAAATGCAAATATCGGCCAAAAATATCGTCCGACCGATGTATCGGTCGACCACTAGTGTCCAGGGACTCTAGGGGATTAATCGTCAAATTGATCATTATCGGCTAACTATCACAATTAATCGTGATGATTTTTTGCCTATACAGTATTGCCCAATCCTAGTGAGCATCAGAATTTAAACATTGCAGCTAATGCTTGGCTACATGGATGTCGTACTATTCAGATTTTTTTCCCTAATATTTTTTCCATTAAGGGTCATTGTGTTACTGGCCTCTCACTTTGCTAACTTTCTGGTTGTCTGTAAGTTGTGCTTCTCTGACACTGGCACACTTACACTCCCCAACACTACACTTCTTTTTGTTTTCCTCCATTAGTCTTTTTTTAAGAGTGCGGTTATATACTTTTAGATTCTTATTTCTTTTGCCTTTTTTCTGTAGTATAGATCACTGCTTAATGAAAGACGCTAGATGAATGTGTTATCAGGCATGTATATTTATTCATCACAGTTGTAGACCAGCAGAGTGTATTTTTAATTTTTTTTTATTTTTTATTTTTTTTTTTTAAGCAGATGTATGTGTGTGTTTTGTTGGTGCCTGGGTGCTTCATCATTCAAATCCAAAGAGCTCAGACCCAAACTGACGAGTGGGTCGGCTTCTTATTCTCATTCCTTGACCCTAATGAGTACCTTGAAGTTGCATCCTCCCACCCTGTGCAGCCTCTGTGAGGGAGAGGAGATGTAATGAAACATTTTTATTAAAGCTGATACAGGGTCTCTCTTTCTCTATCTCCTCTGTACATGAAGCACTAACCCAAACACTGCGTTGTTGTTATGTCGTTGTTGTTGTTCGGTTGCTGTGGCGCTGGGCGGTGTCCAGGTCAGAGCCGAGGATTCGCCTTCGTCGAGTTTAATCTCATACAGGAGGCCACGCGCTGGATGGAGACCAACCAGGTCACTCTCTCCAACACAGACACAAATACACATATTAGATTCATTCAGTGGGACAGTAGTTATTATGATACACAAGTCACATCACATCATAGTTAGTGAAAATGTAGAAACTCACAGTGGAAAATGATAACTCTGCCTGAGGTAGGTTGGCTTTCACATTTTAGGATTTACAATATATATATATAAATCTTTTTGTTTCTGTTTTGTTTTACACAAATTCCACAAACAGGCAAATTTATGTTGCATTGTGCTTAAGCTTGTCTTGTCAATTTTTCATTTATGGACCCCCAAGTCACATTTGTTCAGTATAACCTCCTCTTTTAAAAGAGGACCTCCACCTTTTTTTTTTTTTTTTTTTTTTTTTTACTTGTTTCAGCCTGTGTCCTGATTTTACAGTACCACCTCTGGGATGGTATGCCAACTTCTCACAAGGTCTATTTTATACAAAAAACAGAAACAGTGTTCCATTTTCTTTCCTACTTAAAAAAAACAATAATCTTTCTTTCAGCCATATAACATTAGACCAAAGCTATTGTCTCTGAGGGGTGAAGGCGGTGACACTTGTATGATATGTGTTGTATACTTCTGGAAGGTTTCCCCTTAAGGGGGGAGGGTTAACACGATTGATCAAAACACATTGTGTCCTTAAAAATGGACGCCCACAACACTACACGTACACCATCTCAGTCCGTCCGAATTTTCTAAAGCTGAAGGTTGCAGTTCTCTGGTTTCTTCTTTCTTTCAACTTCAGCTGTCCTCTTTCCTGCCTCTCTCCATCTCTTGCCTTTGTTTCCTCCCCTTTTTTTCATCTTCTTTCTCATCTCTTGTGAGATGAGGCCTCTCTGTGGCATGTGTGGCCAGAGTGTCGCTGATAGTCATTCTTTGTTCTTCCTGCTTCTCTTTCTTTCCCCTTCAGGGGACGCTGCTGATTCTGGGACAGAGGGTGTCGATGCACTACAGCGACCCCAAACCGCGGGCCAACGAGGACTGGCTCTGCAACAAGGTTCTGTGTGTTTTTCATTGATGTGAAATTTCAGCTGTTGCTGCTTATACAGCTCTCCCTGTAGTGACTCATTYAGGATATTTTCTAACAATAATGTAACATTTGAACAGTGTGGTGTGCAAAACTTTAAAAGAAGAGAGAAGTGCTTCAAATGCAGCGTGCCTAAATCAGGTAATGTTTAATGGAGCTGTTTTAAATATGAGTTAATCTTATGTATACAGCATTAGTGTAAACATGCGATGTTGCTTTTCTGTAGAGGCTGAGTTGAAGTTGCCACAGGTGCAGAGGGATTTGCCTGTCAGTCTTCAGAAGGAAGGAACCCAAGGCTTACTGCCTCTACCAACATCCTATCACACCACTGGTCCCAGCATCACGCCGGGCCAGGCTGCCCAGCAGGCAGATGTTGCTAACGACAGTAAGCCTTTAAGTTCATTGTGTTCACAGTAATGTTTTTTATTAGACCTGATAGGTGCAGCTATTTTGTTTATGTCAATGTTTTTTTTAACTTAAGGGACTTTTTGAGTAGTATTAAAGTGTTATTTTGTAGAAATTACTGAGACAGACATTTTTTTCCCTGCATGGTTTAACTTAAGAATATCTCCAAACAGCTCTGATTCTCAGAAACCTTGGCCCCCATACCTCAGTGGACGCCATCTTGTCTGCTTTGGCTCCATTTGCCACCCTCTCCCCATCTAATGTTCGACTAATCAAAGACAAGCACACGCAGCTCAACAGAGGCTTTGCCTTTCTGCAGCTCTCTACAATAGTGGTAACAATTTAAAACAGACACACATTTATGTTTTGTTATTTGAAGATTATTATTGTTTGAATTTATTTGTTTATATA